GGGGGGGGGTGGCAGCTGGGAGCGGGGCCAGGCACTGCTTTGGTCAGCAGAGAACTCACAAAAAATGGCACGTTTAGGGCCAAGAAATTACTTGTGAGTTTGGGAACTGTCTCACCAAAGCAGGGAAAATTGTTCATTTTGAAATGGCAGTCTCATTTCAGAAATGACAGGCATGAGAGTGTTAAAAATGATTAAAAAGCCCAAAGTGGATGAAATGACAGCTCAGGTCAAACAGGAACGCACAGCTCCATCTGGTCATTTCATCATCAATTAAAAAAAAAATCTCTTGGTTGGCCCACGGCGATTTTTTTTTTCTGGTGCTTCTGCTGGGGAGCTGAGCCAGGCCAGCAGCAGGGCGAGCAGCAGGGAGCAGCTGCCCCACGCCACCCCACGGCACGGGGCACCAGAAGGGCCCCCCATGGCCCCCCCTTCTGCCCCTCTCCTCACAGGGCCAGCTTGGGACTCCCACCTGCAAAATCCCCAGGCAGCCCTTGCCTCACCCCAGGGAGAAATGCGTGGGGTGTGATGGGGCGCAGAGGAGATGATGGGCCATCCTACAGCGGGTCCTGTGGCCCCCCCAGCACCCCGCGCCGGGGGCCATGGCCCCACGGCCGTGGCAACCCCTGGCAATGCGTACCAGGTTCTCGTAGCCCATGTAGGGGACGTTGCAGCGGACAGCCGCATCCTCCGTGTGCTTGCAGTCCTCCTGTGTTATGTTCTTGAAGGGGCAGCTCCAGAGGGACTTCTCAGTGCCCAGGCACTGCACCTCGTTCATGTGGACGGGCCCCGTCCCTGCGGGGTGACAGTGGGGCTCAGGGCCCAACGACACCAGGGCAGCCATGGCCATCCTGTCCTCATGGTTGCCCTCGGCACGCTCCTGGCCCCTGCAGCCGTGGTGCAGGGGAGCGGCCGAGGGGCTGGGCGGCCCTCTGGCTGCAGGCCCCTGAGGATGCTCGGGGCAAGCCCTGCGCCACGTGTGACCAGCAGCTGGGTGCCCACGGGACAAGCCCAGCTGCGGCTGCCCCCAGCCCAGATGAGCCCTGCGCCTGGACAAGTTCCTTGTCCGCAGGCCCAGGAGGGCAGCATGTGGCCCCCCCATCCCAGCACCCTCACCTTGGCCCATGCGTGCCCCGGTGAGGGCCTCCTTGGCACTGCCGAAGCCCAGCTCACGGCACACCACGCTGGCTGACAGCAGATTCCAGCGGTCGTCACAGATCGTGCCCCACTCGTTGCTTTTGAGCACCTCGACGCGGCCCTCGCCAACCTTTGCACCACCCTTCAGCCGGATCCGTGGCTGCAGGGGAGCGGGGTCAGGGCACGGTACAGCACAGCACCGTACGGTACGGTGCTGAAGGGCACAGTGCGGCACAGCATGGCACGGTGTGGCACAACACACTGCAGCACAGAGGTTGCTGGCCATGACTCCTGCGACGTGCAGGGACGCAACAGCATGCCCACCTCCTGCTCCACGAGGTGCTCGCCCAGGGACCCCGCTCTCGGGGGCAGTACAGGGGACAGAGCCCTGCAGCAGACAGCTGTGGGGCACCGCAGGGCTCGGCCCCTGCCCCGGGGCTTACCTGGCCCTGCTGCTGGTGGCGCTGCTTCTTCTTGTGGGCATTGCCAGTGGCAAAGAGGGGCCCGGGCACGCAGCTGACGACGGCAGGCATGCCAGCACCGCAGGTGGCCGAGGCGTTGCCCCGGTAGAATTCGAAGGCGCACATGGAGAGGTGCACCTCCGTCCCCGTACAGGACACGGGCTGTGCTTGCTGTCTGTGCCCTGTGCCCTGTCCCCTGGGGAGAGATGTGCCATGCCTGCAGGGTGCCCGCCCACCCCTCGCCAGCTGCCTGCCCCATGTCCTCGGCAGCACGGGGACACACATGGCTCCGGTGGCACTGCGTAGGACTCCTGGCACTCAGGCTTTCCCCTGGAGCCATTTACCTCTTCTTGGACCCTACGTCCTCCCTGCGCTTTTGTTTAGGCTGAGATTTGGAGGCCAGCCTGGAAAACAGAAAACAACCGTCAAGGAGCCCGGGGCCTCAGGCTGTCACCTCTGCCGGCGGCAGTGACACAGGGAGCACAGCCTGCCCCGGTTTTCACTGAAGACTGAAGTGGGCACGTTGGCCTCCCAGGGATACTTGTGTATGTCCCCTTCTTGTCATGCATGGGTGCAACAGTATGATCTGCTGCCAGCAGTGTGACACAACTGCCCTCCACAGCAACGATGCAGTTTCCTGCCCACATCCCACCAGGAAACTGTGCCAGATGCAGCAACATCCCGTGCTGCCTTGTCACACAGCAGAAGATCAAATACCACCGACAACAATTTGATCTGTCAGGTACAAGTGAGGTGTGTCCATGTCCTTGTCCAGACACCAGACAACATCACTGTGTCATGCTCCAAGGGGAGCAGGACGCCAAGCAAGCACAGCACTGAGCAAGCAGCGCAGGCAGCGGGTGCTCTCCCAGTGCCATGGGGCATGGCGAGACTCGCTGCAGGCTTGCAAGGACCCACTGCCAGGGAGGGGAGCTCCCCGGGCGCACGCTGAGCAGTGCAGGGAAGAGGAGGCTGCCCAGGGCCTGGTGCGCATGTGATGTAGGCATGGTCCCAACACACTCAAATGCTTTGCTTCACTCGGGGAGGAAGATGCCAAGCGGGGCCACAACCCCAGGGACCGCAAAGAGTGAAGAGTGGAGTGCCACAAAACAGGGCAGGGGACTGACAGCCCCCAGGGACAAGGCCAAACCAAGCCTGGCAGCTGACCCCACTGTCCGGCGGCAGGTTTGTGTCAGCCCACAGAGCCCAGTGAGCCCTGGGACACAGCATGGGGCTGCCAGAAACAGGGATTCAAATGGCCGGACAGAGGACATCAGTGCCCATTCGCACTCATGCCACCACATCTCGATTCTGCAGCCAGTTCTGGGTCCCCAGTACAAGAAAGACATCAGCTAAGCAGTGCAAGCTCCAGGAAGGGCCACCAAGACAGTGGGGGCTGGACAGGCAGTGGGGGCATGGGGCTGCTCCAGCCAGGGGCTGGGACAGCTTCAGGGGCTCTGGCAGCAGCTGACCTGCAAGGGGCTGTCGGGAGCCAGAGCCCAGCTCCTCCAGCCACGGGAGGGAAGAGCACGAGAGAGAACAGGCACGACTGGCAATGCGAGGTTCAGACCCAGTGTAAGGAAAACTTTTTCTCCATGAGGGCTGTTCAGCATTGGAGCAGAGGCCACAAGGCTGTGGGATTCCCATCCTCAGAGGTTTTCAAAAGCCAACTGGACAAAGTCCTGGGCTGACCCACAGCTGGCCCTGTTCCACACAGGGGGCTGGACCAGGACTCCCTGAGGTCCCTTCCAGCCTGGATTAGCCTGTGACCCCACATGTGACTGCAGCTGTGCAGCCCCAAATTGATCAGCCCTGGCAAACCAGCGCATGGCTTTCAGGAGACAGCTCCTGCTCTGGGCAGAGGGAAGGGAGCAGACCATAGCTTCACGGAGTTACAGAATCACAGAATGGCAGGGGTTGGAAGGGACCTCTGTGGGTCATCTAGTCCAACCCCATTGCCAAAGCAGGGTCACCTAGAACACGCTGCACAGGACCTTGTCCAGGCGGGTCTTGAATATCTCCAGAGAAGGAGACTCCACAGCCTCCCTGGGCAGCCTGGTCCAGTGCTCCGTCACCCTCAGAGGGAAGAAGTTCTTCCTCATCTTCAGACAGAACTTCCTGTGCTTCAGTTTGTGCCCGTTGCCCCTTGTCCTGTCGCTGGGCACCACTGGAAAGAGTCTGGCCCCATCCTCCTGACACCCACCCTTCATATATTTAGAGGCATTTCTAAGGTCCCCTCTCAGTCTTCTCTTCTTCAGGCTAAACAAGCCCAGCTCCCTCAGCCTTTCCTCGTAGGAGAGATGCTCCAGGTCCCTCATCATCCTCGTAGCCCTCCGCTGGACTCTCTCCAGTAGCCCTCATCTTTCTTGAACTGGAGAGCCCAGAACTGGACGCAGCACTGCAGATGGGGCCTCCCCAGGGCAGAGCAGAGGGGGAGGAGAACCTCCCTCAACCTGCTGCCCACACTCCTCCACTGGCCTTCTTGGCACCCAGGGCATACTGCTGGCTCATGGTTAACCTGTCATCCACCAGGACACTCGGGTCCCTCTCTGCAGAGCC